AAAAAAGAAAGATAAAACATAAAAAAACAAGTTTTTGGCTTTATTATAGCACATTGACAGCTATTTGACAGCTGCCAACTGTCAATTTTGAAAATCTAACAACAGATCTGAATTCAGCAACCTCAAAAATATAAACCTAGATAATAAAAAAAATGAAATAGGCTATTTCAAAAGTCTATACACACTGCGCATATACATAAATCCGTGGAGGATATTCGGAGCTTTAAAGCTCTGTACCGGCCAAACTATCCATTTTTGAGCTTTGTGGCCATTGAGACAATTGACCAGTATGATGAACTCTATCACATATCAAAAATTCAGCGAATTTGACCGGGACCCAATTTCCATAAGATTTGTGCGGGGTCCTTTATGAAGAAGTGTTACAACATTTAAAGTATTAAGTGTTATTAATTTAATGATTGAATGATTTTTCAATGTAAATTGGAAACATAAATGAGGGTACGATCTTATGTTTAATTGATGTCTCAGTAGAAAATATTTATGAATTTTAATGAAAATACAGTTAACGAAAATAGTGTTTTTTTTTTAATAAACAATGAATATCAGTGAGTACATTTAAAGAAGTCGTTGAAAATGATCACTATTTTCGCTAAGGCATAAATTTACTCCGCAAAATTAAATTTCACTGTGTCCGATAACTGGTGATTATTTATAATGTTGCATATATTTATAATAATGCTTCCATAATATTCTGAAAATTTCCCAAATTTTTATTGAAACATCCACTCATCAACAATTTCAACAATTTGGTTATTTTTAATTAAACATCATATGCTCATTCACATTTTTTTGTTCACATTTGAAAATATCCAATACTTGTACTTTTTTCAACTATGAGGTTATTAACAATTAACTAGTATAAAAAACGCGTGCAATATATTTTTTAAAAGCAGTCAGTAAAAAAAACCAAGGCAAAAAGTCCTAATAAACATGGGGTCGCAAGATACAGGACGTTGAAGTTTCTTTAATCATACATATCTTTGATAATTTAAAAACACCTTAAGATTTATATATAAATTTGCCACATGCAGTTAGCACCTAAAGATTTATTGTTTAATGCACTACTCAATATTTTACGGACAACAGTGGCATAGAGGCGGGGGCAACATTATTCTTTTTTTAAATATTTTCTATGCCACTGCTAATTTTATCAATTTGACACAATTTTCAGGTTGAGTGTTCATTTATCTATCAAATTGCCCTCTTGGAAAATCCCTTCCATCAATATATCAATATCAATTTCATTCTATATCTTTAAAATCTGCAATCTCCTCTCGCTCCCACACTGGGCCGCGAAAAGGGCCGATTTATCGGACCTAAGGATCTTCGCGGGAGCCGCGAAGCGGCGACCGTCGTGGCGCGAAGCGCCACGACGTCCTCGCGTCATCGCTTGGTGATGTTTTCGCGGCGGTTTTTCCGCTTTTTCGCGGGTAAAATTTCGTTTTTTAGGGGCACCTCTGCTAGGCGCGGAGCGAAACAGAGACGCGACATGTCGGAAACGCCCACCGTCCGATGCCGAAAATTGCCCTACGGAATTTCGCTCTTCTAGACGTTTTTCGGGACGTGGGGTCGTTATTTTCACGTCGNGGGCCGATTTATCGGACCTAAGGATCTTCGAGGGAGCCGCTTCGCGCCACGACGTCCTCGTGTCGTCGCTTGGTGATGTTTTCGCGGCGGTTTTTCCGCTTTTTCGCGGGTAAAATTTCGTTTTTTAGGGGCACCTCTGCTAGGCGCGGAGCGAAACAGAGACGCGACATGTCGGAAACGCCCACCGTCCGATGCCGAAAATTGCCCTACGGAATTTCGCTCTTCTAGACGTTTTTCGGGACGTGGGGTCGTTATTTTCACGTCTGAAATCGATTTCCGTCCCTCGCGATCGATATCGCGGCGGAAAAACGGAATTTGAACGTTTCAAAATTTTCGTCGAGTTCGAGCCGATGCGGACCGTTAAATAACTTATACAAAGACAACCCACCCAGTGTCTGGGATAGCTCGAGGGACTGGACGTCGGCCGTCCATCCGCGAGACCCCGGTTCGAATCGTGAGCGGTTGGAGCTTTTTTATTTTTTATTCTCGCTATTTTCTACTAATTTCTTTAAATATTATGTAGAAATATGTTTTATTTGCTTACCATATGCCTTTTTCAAACTTTTTATTTACAATGTTTTATGAAATTAACACGGAATCGAAATGCGGCCGCTTTTTACTTTACTTTAAAATCTGCAATCTCCTCTCGCTCCCACACTCGAAGGCGAAAAACGGCGATTTGCCGGACTTATGGGTCTTTTCGCGAGACGCGAAGCGGCCGGGCGAAGGGCACTAAGCGCGCTTCGTTTCTTCCTTTATCCAGACGTCATATTTTGAAAGCGATTTTTTTAACGTATTCGATGTGGAATTTTCCTTTTCCGGGACAGCTGCTGGCGATTTTTCGTGCGGAACAGAGATGCAAAGTGTCGGCAGACGGCAACGCCCATCGACGGAAACATGACAATTGCGATTGATGTCAGATTGAAACGTCAAAATAGATTTGACACCAATAGCTAAAGACGTTCTAGGGTTGGGGATTGTTGTTATTTCATCTTCCTAGGCCTTTTTTAAACTTTAATTTATAGGTACCCTACGATTTATACAGGTATTTATTTATCATTACGTTTTTATTTACATTTTTTCTTAGCTCTACCACTACATACGTGGTATACCTGCTGTATGTCTCTAGATTTGCTGTAAGTACCCACTAAAAATTGTATACTTATTTCTTTCTAATTTTAAAGAAAACACCAGTACGTAAATCCCTTCATCTTTGTATTAGTACATTTGCTTCGTTAATTACTATATTACATTCGTATTATTCCACAAACGTCAAAAGTTGCGAATTATCGAAATAAGTTCGAGCTAAAGACTTCCAGGTCGTGGAATGTTGTTCTTTCTCTGTTTTATACCATTCATTCAGAAAACAAGCTTCACATAAAGACGTTAGTGTAGCGGTGAAAATGGGATAACCTAAGATTTATTTCTTACAGATTGCCGCAATTTAATTCTATGGATGTATCTTTTTAAAGATGAAAAAATATACATTTTCAAAAACTTTTTTCTACAGTGTCTAAAAAAAGTGTGTTGAAGCTCGAACGGTCAGGAGGATTCTGTATATTTAAAAAATTTATTGATTGCAATATTTTTATGACAAATCTACAAATAATATCTTATTAACCAGATGTTTTGTACTGGATGTTTCATAAAGCTGACACAGGAGAACTAGGATTTTTTTTCTCATTTCACTACCCACTTCCTACATTATTTATTGAAATATCTTGATGAAAATTTATATAGTTCCTCACCAGACGCTTTCTTTGAAAATCCATATACTGGATGTTCTACATAAATTGACATAGGTCAGAATTATCGGTCCAGAGGCTTCTGTATATTTCAGAAATTTATTGATGGCAATATTTTTATGAAAAATCTTATATTGCAGAACTCAGAAGCATTTCGCAAATTTATATACTGTGTTTCATAAAAATGAAACAGGCGGACTAGGATTTTTTTCTCATTTCACTAAACACTTTCCTACATTATTTATTGAAATCTCTTGATGAAAATTTATATAGTTACTCACCTGACGTTTTCTTTGAAAATCTATATACTGGATGTTTACACAAAATGGCCCAGGTCAGAATTATCGGTCCAGAGGCTTCTGTATATTTCAGAAATTTATTGATGGCAATATTTTTATGAAAAATCTTATATTGTAGAACTCAGAAGCAATTCGCAAATTTATATACTGAGTGTTTCATAAAAATGAAACAGGCGGACTAGGATTTTTTTCTCATTTCACTACCCACTTTCTTACATTATTTATTGAAATCTCTTGATGAAAATTTATACAGTTACTCACCTGACGTTTTCTTTGAAAATCCATATACTGGATGTTTACACAAAATGGCCAAGGTCAGAATTATCGGTCCAGAGGCTTCTGTATATTTCAGAAATTTATTGATGGCAATATTTTTATGAAAAATCTTATATTGTAGAACTGAGAAGCATTTTGCAAATTTATATAATGAGTGTTTCATATAAAAATGAAACAGGCGGACTAGGATTTTTTTCTCCTCTTTTTTTGAAACGTTTTGAAGAAAACTGACCACTCGCTTTTTGAAAAATCCATATACTGAAAATTGAGCCAGGTCTGATTAACAGGCAAAATTTTCCTTTCTCTTTTAACTTTATTTTTACTTACTTTAATGAAAAATGGTATATTTACTAACCAGATATCTTTTTGGAAGTTTATACTGGATGTTCCAAAAATTACTTCAAAATTAGGAGACAGTGAAACTTAACTTAATTTTTCCCATTTCTGCCTAACCTACGTACTGAAATCTTTGAATAAAAAATTGTCTATTTACTGTATGTTCTACAAAACACTTTAGAATTGGGAGAGTGAAACATAACTTATTTTTCCCCATTTCTGACCTACCTATGTACTGAAGTCGTTGGATGAAAAATTTTATATTTACTAACTAGATACCCTTTTGGAAGTTTATACTGGATGTACAAAATGATCTACATCCGAATTGAAACCAAAACAAAATGGCGGCAGACCAGATGTTTGTTTACCCTTTTCACCTTTTTCTACTTTCTTTGGTAAAGTTCATTGATAAAAAATTTTGCATTTACCAACACGATGCTTTTTTGATAATTTTTATACCGAATGTTCAAACAAAATTGATCCAGGTCAGAGTTGCAAGTGTTCAAACGTATTCATATTCTTTTTAGTTCATTCTACTTTATTTTTTGAGGTAACAATTTTATAATATGTTTTTTGAAGCTTTACAATAAAGTGCATGTTCTATAAAATTGGTCCAGGACAGACCCCGTGGATTATTCCTTATCATATTTATTTCTTCTACTTTATTTAGTGAAGCCTATTCATAAAAATTTTTTTATTTACTAACCAGATGCCATTTTAAAACTTGCTACATAGAATGTTTCACAAAATCGACCCACATTTGAATTGTGATAATAATGTAGATGGTGGTGATGTAGATGATGGTGGTGTAGATGATGGTGACGTAGATGATGGTGGCGTAGATGATGGTGGCGTAGATGATGGTGTTGTAGATGATGGTGATATAGATGTTGCTGTAGTAGATGATTATGGTGATGTGGATGGTGGCGATGTAGATGATGGTGATGTATATGATGGTGATGAAGATGATGTCGATGATGTAGATGATTTGGCTGTCGATGATGGCGATGTAGATGATGTAGATGGTGGCGATGTAAATAATGGCGATATAGATGATGGTGATGTAGATTATGGTGGTATAAATGATGGTGGTGTAGATGTAGATGAGGGTGATGCAGATGATGGTGCTGTAGATGATGGCGATGTAGATGATAGTGCTGGATATTATAGTGCTGAAGATTATGGTGATGTAGATGGTGATGTAGATGGTAATGTGGATGATGGTGATGTAGATGATGGTGCTGTAGATGATGGTGATGTAGATGATGACGATGTAGATGATGGTAATGTGGATGATGGTGTTGATGATTTATAAAACATTCACGCAAGACAGTGCTCCGCAAAGCGGAGTTCATGCGGCGCGCAGCGCCGCCCGAGGACCGAAGGCCCGAGAGAAAGGTCAAGTCGGCGAAGGCGCGACGGGCTATTCCGGTGGAGGCCCCTCCGCTCCTTCCTACCTAAAATCCGGTCCTCCCGGAGCCCTACAGGGGGCGTGGCCCAATTTTTGTGTGAACCGCAATAGTCCGACACGCCTACTTTCCGATGAAACCTGACGATCGCCTCGCCGGTTTCCTCTATTCAGTTTTCATTTTACCCATTTTACCTACGTTATTTATTTAAAGCCGCGCGGAAAATACTCATATTTATCGACCGGATGCTTTTTTCAAACCTTTTATGTAGAACTTTCCGCGAAATCGCGCGCAGGATTCGAAATGCGGCCGTAAATACGTTAAAATGTGCTCTCTCGCCGGCTGGAAAACGTATACTTTCCCACACAGAATTCTTTTTCCGCAAACCGCGGAACGGCGTGCGACTGGGCACGAGATGTCCATTCGATCATCTTTAATTGTCGGGGGGGCATTTTTGTAACGTTCTTTTCGCTTTTTCATATTTAATTTTGCCTCTTTTTAGGGTCCACTCGACGACAGACGACCATTTCACAAGCCGTAAAGATTGAAGCTTTAAGACACGCCCACCCGGAGAAAATTCGAATGTCGTTAGAAACGTCAGATTAATTATGTCAAAATAATTTCACGCCAAACGCGAAAGACGTCTTTGGGGTCGCGACGAACCGTTATTTTACCTTACTAGGCCTTTTTTAACCTTAATACATTGCTACGCCACGACATATACAGGTATTTCTTATTATTAGGTTAGGTTGTTATTTACATTTTCGCAGCTCTACCGTTTGACATGCCTAGGATTACGATACCTGTCCCCCGAATAAACGTAAGTACTTGCCCTCTAAAACAGCATAATTTTAAACCAATCCATAGTACCTAAACCCTTGAACCTTTGTATTAGTACATTTGCTTCGTTAATTTACTATATTGCATTCGTATCTATTACTCCCCAAACGTCAAAAGTTAAGAATAAGTTGGAGTTAAAGACTCTTTCAAGTTATAGGATGTCGTTATTTATCTGTGTTATCTCATTGTGGATCTTTTGCGAGACGACTTTGTGTTAGAAAAATGCAAATTTAACATTACAAAAATTGTTTATTACTTCAGCTGTGAACGACGACACTACGCGCTCAAGCCAGATTGGAAAACTACCATTTTGGCGGACGGACTGGGTTTCTCCGCGAGATCCGAAGCGGCATAACCGCGCCTCATCTCCCTTCGTTCGTCGCTTAATGAAATTTTTGCAACTTTATATTCGCGTTTTCAAATGTACTTTCTGGGTGGACTTCTCACTGACATACGGCCATTTTATAAGCGAAATAGAGATTCAACCAGCCCTGAACGCAAATCGACGAAAATCTGAAAATCACGAAGAATGTCAGATTGAAACGTCTAAATAAATTTCACTATATTTGACGTTTCCAATTGAGGTTAGAAAATCACAACGAACCATAGATCGATGGAAGGAACAGACTGATTGATATTTGCCGTATTTCGTAATTTAGGTTAGGAAATCAGACGGTACCTACTACGCGATTTTTGATGTTAGAAAATCAAAAGGAACGTACTAATTTATATTTGACGTGTTTCGTGTTTTAGGTTAAGATATCACACAGGAGTGAGAAGACGATATTTGACGTTTCTAATTGAGGTTAAAAAGTCAGTGGGGACCTACTAATTAATATTTGACGTTGTTAGACCTGATCTTCCTTTTAGTATAAAAAGAAGGTGCTGGTCTAAGCGTGGGTTCTTTGCATTTATGAAATAAAACTCCTAGGAGAGTAAAAGAACAATCTTTATTTACTAATGGGGGTAGGATTGGTTCTGACGGAGCTTTAAGGTGAACCGTGATCCGAACAGATCAAATGTTCTACTATAACCGTGATCTATGGTTGGGATTAATACAATAATCGATTTTAGTGACCTTCGCTGCCGGTTCGTGGTCTCTGGTTGGTGTTGACAATTGTCAAAAGTGCAGATGGAGAAAATGATCTGCTTATATATAAAACAAACCGAAGCAACAACAATTTCTTTTATAATAATATATGTTATAGTTAAGTGGTAGATTTGTTAATCGGCGCTTACCTAGGTACCTTGGTTTTCGCTTACAGAATGAGAAATTTACTTAAGGTAAGGATAATATTTACAATAATTAAAGTACTAAAGTAACCAGTTTTCACTTATTAATCTCCTATCTTTTTTTTCTTTTAGGTCTAGCCACGACAGCAGGGTAGCTGGGTAAATTATTTTACTTATTCTGGAAACTAGCCACAAGCATAGGTTAGTGCCTCAGAGCGATCATGCGTTAATGCTATAATGCTATTAGCTAAACTAAAACATTGGTAGTAAGCCATGCAGTGAAACTAGCTATGAAGACAGTGCACGGCAACAAGACTACAGCAAAGTAATGGGGAATAATTCTATATCTAAATTGCCTGTATAGTTACTCGGACAAGTAACTATGTGTGATGTGTAGTGATGGGCATAATCGACCCATTTCGATAATCGAGTTATCGGTAATCGAGTACTTCTAATAATCGAGTGATCACTCGAGATACGAGATATTGGTCGTTTTCATCCCAGCGGCGCACAAATATGTTTTTATTAGTCATATACTACTTATAAGCGTAGCTAAAAAAAAAAACTCACGCACTTCAAAACCTAAACACTTTTTCGTTTTATTCTAAAAAAAGGTTACGCAATCAGTGACTATTTGCAGTATGCACTAACATTTTGGGGTGCAACCGTAGGGTAATAATCACTCGAGTGGTGGGAGTAAACATCTCGAGATATCTCGAGTGATCTCAATAATCGAGTACCACTCGATTTTTCACTCGAGATCTCCCATCACTAGTGATGTGCCCACGATGTAGCAACCGAACTGCCTGGTGGATGTCTGGACCTGTCTGGTAGGTACGACTGCCGGGGTACTGGATAGCTAGGGCTGGAAGGGTACTTCGTAACCATATACTAAGGTAAGGGTTTCGGAAGTTTGATAACGGTGTATTTGTTGGCCTAAAAGGAATTTATCGATAAATTATTACACAATAGATGAGAGATATAGTTTGACTAAATGAGATTAAGGCTGGACTGGCTTACCGTCAAGATGTTGTGTGGCCAAGAAGTGTAGTCTTCTGACAAGGGCACACGGTGACAAAATTTTAATGCACAGAACCTCTCGATATCCAGCATATGCTGTTAAGTGCAGAAATGCTATCTGCCACTAAATGTGGTGCAAAATGCAATTTTTGTCGGGATTAGATCAGCTAAAGCTTGCTAAAGAACTTAAGTCTTTCTAATTCAAAATGGTGCTCTCACCCAAAAGATAGAGTAGAAAAAAACTCAGTCATAAAAACCCTTAAAAATCATAGAATTGGAAATACCAAATTTTAAACCATAGAAAATTGTATTATTTCAAACTCAAACCTCTATCTCTTTCTAACTTATTTATCTTAGGAGAGATACATGGTGCTACATTATTACCAATAGGTTCTGTGGATCTGTGACAGATAATAACCATAGATTAACACAGTTTTGACAGTGGGCCCAAAGAAAAGGTTATATTTACATATTTCTGACAATATGGGCTGTTATTTATTCATGTTGAGTATATGGAATTTCTTTCCTAAACAAAGCGATTTGTCTATTTCCACCACGATTGTACTGGCACAGTACCTCTAACTTTTACTTGTTCCAGGCACCACCTGCGGGGAGGCCACTGGTTGGCCAGCAACAAGGAAAACATATGTGAACAAAACCAACAAAACTACCCTAACCCAATCATTTGCAACCCACTATCTACTCTCCCCTCTTGGGAATGATCTTAAAGATGATAAGTTAGGAGCAATAAAATAAACCTGTAACAACGTATTTCATAGATGACATCGAGGTGAAAAAATCAGATGGACCTACTAGGCGAAAATGATGTTTCCAATTGATGTTAGAAAATTAGACGGGACTTACTAGACTACATTTGAAGTATTTATTTAAACCAACAAATTTTTGTTTACTGATCAGAGGCCTATTTCAAACTTTTTATTTAGAACATTTCGCGAAATTAACGCAGATTCGAAGTGCGGCAGCTTAAACAATGAATGACGATACTACGCGCTGTCTTTCAAATCAGACTGGAAAACTAGCATTTTGGCGGAAGGACTGGGTTTCTCCGCGAGATCCGAAGCGACATAGTCGAACCTCACTCCCTTCGTTCGTCGCTTAATCAAATTTTTGCAACTTTATATTCGCGTTTTCAAATATCCCGTGGACTTTTATAAGCGAAATGGAGATTCAAAGAACAGCGAACGTAAATCGACGAAAATCTAAAAATCACGAAGAATGTCGGATTGAAACTTCAAAATAAATTTCGCTGTATTTGACGTTTCCAATTGAGGNTTTTATCGCTGCTATTAATTGACAGTGAAAACGCTCTACCATGCCATTTGCTGCTGGGTGATATGCGGTGGTTCGGAGATGAGTCGTACCTAGTAAACTATTCAGGCGTCTGAATAGGTGCGATTCGAACTGTCGACTCTGTTCCGTCGTTATTCGCAGGGGTGATCCAAATCTGCATATCCAATTAGCATATAAAGCGCGAGCTACAGTTTCTGCCTCCTGGTCTTCTAGCGGAATTGCATCTGGCCACCTGATGAAGCGATCTACACAGGTTAAGCAGTAGCGGTAGGCTTCGGATGGCGGCATCACGACGATATCCACGTGGATATGTTCAAATCTCGTTGACGAAGGTTGGAATGAATCTGTCGGAGAAGTTACGTGTCGTGTCACTTTTGCGCGTTGACATTCGATACAGCAACGTGCCCATTGTCTGCTATCACGCTTTATTGACGGCCAGACGAAACGTTGCGTAAGGAGCTTGACTGCGTAGCCGCTACAACGTTCTCGCGACCATCCATGTGACGAATGTCTGTCGTAAACTGTTAGACCTGAACTTCCTTTTAGTATAAAAAGAAGGTGCTGGTCTAAGCGTGGGTTCTTTGCATTTATGAAATAAAACTCCTAGGAAAGTAAAAGAACAATCTTTATTTACTACTGGGGGTAGGATTGGTTCTGACGGAGCTTTAAGGTGAACCGTGATCCGAACAGATCAAGTGTTCTATTATAACCGTGATCTATGGTTGGGATTATACAATAAACGATTTTAGTGACCTTCGCTGCCGGTTCGTGGTCTGTGGTTGGTGTCAATTGTCAAAAGTGCAGATGGAGAAAATGATCTGCTTATATATAAAAAAAACCGAAACAACAATTTCTTATATAATAATATATGTTATACAGTTAATTGGTAGATTTGTTAATCGGCGCTTACCTAGGTACCTTGGTTTTCGCTTACATAATGAGAAATTTACTTAAGGTAAGGATAATATTTACAATAATTAAAGTACTAAAGTAACCAGTTTCCACTTATTAATCCCCTATCTTTTTTTTTTCTTTTAGGTCTAGCCACGACAGCAGAGTAGCTGGGTAAATTATTTTACTTATTCTGGAAACTAGCCACAAACGTAGGGTAGTGCCTCAAAGCGATCATGCGTTAATGCTATAATGCTATTAGCGAAACTAAAACATTGGTAGTAAGCCATGCAGTGAAACTAGCTATGAAGGCATTGCACGGCAACAAGACTACAGCAAAGCAATGGGGAATAATACTATATCTAAATTGCCTGTATAGTTACTCGGACAAGTAACTATGTGTGATGTACCCACGATGTAGCAACCGAACTGCCTGGTGGATGTCTGGACCTGTCTGGTAGGTACGACTGCCGGGGTACTGGATAGCTAGGGCTGGAAGGGTACTTCGTAACCATATACTAAGGTAAGAGTTTCGGAAGTTTGATAACNAGGTCTGGATCAGATTTTTCCTTACATTTTTTACATTTTTTCGTTTTACTTACATATTGAATCTTTTGGTCGTGTTTTATGCTTATTAACTAGATGAGATTTTGGCGAATTATCGGTCTAGAGGTTTCTGTATATTTCAGAAATTTATTGTGGCAATTTAGAGATGACACTAACAATTCAAAAAGTCCATGTTTTAAAAGTACCAACATGTCAACACAAAAATAGACTGAGACCTGATTATTTAGCGGTAAAATTCGCGTTCTATTATTAAGGTCTACAATTCAATTACCAATGGGATCAGAAATATATTCCTTTACTTATTTCCACATTTTACTTTTATTATGGAATATTCATTTTAAGAAGAAAAAAATATAAATTTTCAAATAGATTTTCATACACAGGATGTCCACAGAAATTAATTATATTTAAAAAATTTATTAATTGCAATATTTTTATGAAAAATCTTATATCGTAATAATCATATGCTTTATGCAAAGGTATGTACCGAATGTTACACAAAAATGACACAGGTGAACTTTGATTTTACCTATCTTTTCACTTTTTCAAATTTTTTTTAAATCTTTTCATGAAAAGTTATATAGTTACTAACCAAAGGGTTTTTTTGAAAATCCATATACTGCATGTTCTACATAACTGACCCAAGTCAAAATTATCGGTCTAGAGGCTTCTGTATATTTCAGAAATTTATTGTGGCAATATTTTTATGAAAAATCTTATATTGTAGAACTCAGAGGCATTTTGCAAATTTATATACTGAGTGTTTCATAAAAATTACACAGGCGGACTAGGATTTTTTTCTCATTTCACTACCTACCTAAATTTTCAAATAGATATTTCTACACACGGTGTCAAATATTTTTTACAATGTAATTTTCTGATTCATTTTGTTAATTTTTTCATGAAATCGTTTGAAGTTGTATATTTACTGGCCAGCCGCTTTTTAGAAAATCCATATATGTACTGGATGTTCCATAAAATTGATCCATATCTGAAACGGGCAATTTTTATCCTTTTCACTTTTAACTTTGTCTTTATTTACTAAAGTCTTTTAATGAAAAATTGTATAATTATTAACCAGTTGTCTTTTTGAATTTTTATATTGAGTATTTATGACCAATAGAACAAAACTTTCCCTAATGTTTTTTTCCTTTTCTATATTTTGTACTGAAGTCTGCAATATTTTTATGAAAAACCCGACTAACCAAGTGTTTCTTGCAATTTATGTACAGCATGTTCCATAAAACTGACACAGGTGTACCAGATTTTCCCTTATTCATTTTGTTAATCTTTTGAAGAAAAGTCGCTTTTTAAAAAATCCATACATTAGATGTTCTATAGAATTGAGGGCAGTTTTATTTCTTTTCACTTTTAGCTTTGTCTATTTACTAGTTTTTTAATGAAAATTTGTATATTTATCAAGCAGATGTCTTATTTATTTTTTTACCATTTCTGCCTTACCTACGTAGTCTTTGGATTAAAAATTTTATACTTACTAACCAGATACCTTTTTGGAAGTTTGGAACAAACTTTTCTTATTCTTTTCTCGAACGGGGCCTACTCTTTTTTGAAAAGCATTCTCCTCATACTTTTATATACAGGGTGTTTAAAAATCAAAGTACAGGGTGTTTCCATAAATATTATATCTACTAACCAGCGAGGAAAGCACCGCGGAGCGGTGCACGGGCCGCGCGCAGCGCGGCCCGAGGGCCGAAGGCCCGAGAGAAAGGTCAAACTCCGCGTCAGCGGAGTTTGCCTGCCTTTCTAGTCAATACATATTAAAATCCGATAGCTCCGTCTGCGTCGCACGATCGCCCCGAAAAAGAGCCGATTTGCCGNTACAAAAACCCAGTCATAAAAACCCTTAAAAATCACAGAATTGGAAATACCAAATTTTAAACCATAGAAAATTGTTTTATTTCAAACTCAAACCTCTATCTCTTTCTAACTCATTTATCTTAGGAGAGATACATGGTGCTACATTATTACCAATAGTTTCTGTGGATCTGTGACAGATAATAACCATAGATTAACACCGTTTTGACAGTGGGACCAAAGAAAAGGTTATATTTACATATTTCTGACAATATGGGCTGTTATTTATTCATGTTGAGTATATGGAATTTCTTTCCTAAACAAAGCGATTTGTCTATTTCCACCACGATTGTACTGGCGCGGTACCTCTAACTTTTACTTGTTCCAGGCACCACCTGCGGGGAGGCCACTGGTTGGCCAGCAACAAGGAAAACATATGTGAACAAAACCAATAAAACTACCCTAATCCAATCATTTGCAACCCACTATCTACTCTCACTCTCCCCTCTTGGGAATGACCTTAAAGATGATAAGTTCAGCATAATAAAATAAACCTGTAACAAAACTGGCCAATAAAGTCTAGATAGCAGAATTGTCGCGGTGTACACTGACTCGACTTTTTCGCGAAGGCAAACGTAAGAGGCTTATGGTGGGTGTAAATCGCGAATGTTCTTGCCTCGACCATATGCTGGAAGTATTTGACTGCTTCCTAAATCGCAAGAAGTTCGCGGTGGTAAGCAGCGTATTTGCACTGAGCTGTGTTAACTTTTTTCGAAAAATACCCTAGCGGTTCCGAATCGTTCTCAGCTTTTTGTTGCACTATGGCACCAATTGCAAAGTTATAAACGTCACACACTAGAGCGATTTGCGTATTTTCACCGGGGTACGCGAGTAGAGCTGCCTGTGCTAAGCTCTCTTTAGACGCCTCGAAAGCACTTTTCGCGTTTTGTGTCCAATTTATGGTGCTTTCCCTTTAACATCCCCTTTAAGCAGGTCATTCATTGGCGCCTGGGTACCTGTTGCGTTGGGTGCGAACCGTCGGTAAAAGTTCAGGGCGCCAAGTAATTGTCGTAATTGCTTTATTGTCGTAGGCAGCGGGTAGTCTTTCATTGCCTCGACCTTTTCGGGCAGCGGTCGCGTGCTCTCACTTGACACCAGATAACCGAGGAATTTCACTTCGCTTTGTCGGAACACGCACTTTACGGAGTTAAATACGACACCGTACTTGCGCAGCCGTTGGAACAGTGTTTCCAGGTGACGCAGGTGTTCCTCTTCAGACGATGAAGCTACAAGGATGTCGTCGATGTACGCGTAGCAGAAATCCAAGTCGCGTAAAACCTCGTCGATGAAGCGTTGAAAGGTTTGAGCTGCATTGCGTAACCCAAAGGTCATGTATGTGAACTCAAATATCCCGAAAGGTGTCGTGATAGCCGTCTTAGGAGTGTCTTCTTCCGGACGGGGATTTGGTGAAATGCGCGAATCAAATCGATGGTCGAAAATAATTTCCTACCTCGAAGAGTTTGTGCAAAGTCCTGAATATGTCGCACATGATATATGTCTGGACGCGTTCGTGCGTTAAGCCTACGATAATCGCCACATGGCCGCCATTCTTCTCCCTTTTTTGGCGCGAGGTGTAAAGGTGACGCCCATGAACTGCGCGAAGGACGGGCGATACCTAATTTCAGCATATCGTCTAATTCCTTTTTCGCTGCTCGCAATTTGTCTGGCGCTAGTCTACGCGGCTTCTCAGCGATGGGGGGGACCAGGTGTTGTTTCGATGTAGTGCCTGGTTTGGAATTGTACAGCCGCAGAAGGTTCAGCAAGACGCGTAATGTCCGAATACTGCTTGAGTAGGCGATGAAACAGATTCCCCGGAAATCGTTCTGACTGAGGGTGTCGCAGAATGCGCGAGTTAGCCTGGAAACGTAATTTGCGTTGTTTCATCAAGCAGTCTTTTGTTGCGTACGTCCACCAGTAGTCCATCCCTACTAATATTATAAATGTGAATGTAAGTTTGTTTGTTACGCTTTCACGCGAAAACTACTTAACCGATCATTATGAAACTTTGTACACTTGGAGGTATTAGAAGTAACATAGGATACTTTTATTAAAAAAAAAATATTTTTTACGAAAGATTTTCTATATTTATTTACCCGCGAACGAAGCCTACTAATAATCCCTACTAATATTATAATTGTGAATGTAAGTTTGTTTGTTACGCTTTCACGCGAAAACTACTTAACCGATCATCATGAAACTTTGTACGCATATTCTTGGAGGTATTAGAAGTAACATAGGATACTTTTTATAAAAAAAAATATTTTTTACGAAACATTTTCTATATTTATATACCCGCGAGCGAAGCCTACTAATAATAATAATATATATCCCTACTAATATTATAAATGTGAATGTAAGTTTGTTTGTTACGCTTTCACGCGAAAACTACTTAACCGCGCGCCATTATTCCATGGCTAGAAATTGGCCTCAATGATTTGGGATCGAGGGGGATTATCCCTCTTTATCCTGCCTCATCTCGTGTAGGCCTGGACAGCCTTCGTAGGTGGGCCCCATCCGTCGTCTACCCCGACCGCAANGCAGATGTCTTAATTTATTTTTTTACCATTTCTGCCTTACCTACGTAGTCTTTGGATTAAAAATTTTATACTTACTAACCAGATACCTTTTTGGAAGTTTGGAACAAACTTTTCTTATTCTTTTCTCGAACGGGGCCTACTCTTTTTTGAAAAACATTCTCATCATACTTTTATATACAGGGTGTTTAAAAATCAAAGTACAGGGTGTTTCCATAAATATTATATCTACTAACCAGCGAGGAAAGCACCGCGGAGCGGTGCACGGGCCGCGCGCAGCGCGGCCCGAGGGCCGAAGGCCCGAGAGAAAGGTCAAACTCCGCGTCAGCGGAGTTTGCCTGCCTTTCTAGTCAATACATATTAAAATCCGATAGCTCCGTCTGCGTCGCACGATCGCCCCGAAAAAGAGCCGATTTCCCGGACGGAAGGCTCTTTCCTCGGGCTGCGCAGCGGCCCCCGTCGCGACGTCGTATTTAGAACGCGATTCCTCGACGCCTTCACCGTGAATTCTCTGAATTCCCCAGGCTCTGCGAGGGGCGCGGCCCAATTTTTGTGTGAAACATACGAGTCCGACACACTCTCCCGCTGAAATCTGACGGTTGCCGATCGCCTCGAATTGCGCGCGGTACGGCTTTTTTATTTCCCCTATTACGATATTTTATTTAAAACTGTGCCGAAAATACTCATATTTATCGACCGGGTGCCTATTTCGCGCTTTTCCCGTAGAACTTTCCGCGAAATCAAATGCGGGATTCGAAATGCGGCCGTAAATACGTTAAAATACACTCTAGGAAGACCGAAAAATGTGAAATTTTGCCCCACAAAATTCCTTCTCCGCGAGCTTCGAAACGGCGTGCTACTTGGCACAGATATGCAATTGTTCCTGCTTAGTCGTTCGGGGTCATTTTTGTGACGTTTTTTTCGCGATTTCATACTTAATTTTGCCTTTTTTGGGGTCTGCTCGACGACAGACGACCATTTCGCAAGCCGTAAAGATTGAAGCTTTAAGACACGCCCACTCGGAGAAAATTCGAATGTCGTTAGAAATGTCAGATTAATTATGTCAAAATAATTTCATACCAAACGCGAAAGACGTCTGTAGGGTCGCGGCGAACCGTTATTTTACCTTACTAGGCCTTTTTTAACCTTAATACATTGCTACGCCACGACATATACAGGTATTTCTTATTATTAGGTTAGGTTGTTATTTACATTTTCGTAACTCTACCGTCTGACATGCCTACGATTAGGATACCTGTTCCCCGAATTAACGTAAGTACTTGCCCTCTAAAACTGCATAATTTTAAACCAATCCATAGAACCTAAACCCTTGAACCTTTGTATTAGTATTATTACTCCCCAAACGTCAAAAGTCAAGAATCAGTAGAAATAAGTTAGAGTTAAAGACTCTTCCAAGTCATAGGATGTCGTTATTTATCTGCGTTATCTCATTGTGGATCTTTTGCGAGACAACTTTGTGTTAGAAAAATGCAAATTTAACATTACAAAAATTGTTGATTACTTCAACTGTGAATGACAATTAAAATATCAGTACAGACGGATTGTATATGAAGCAACGATAGCACAGCGGTAAAAACGTCCCGTTGTATTCTTAAGGTCGGTGGTTCAATCTCAGACGAAGTTACCACAACATTTTTTTTTTATTTACTGCCGTAATTTTATTTTATATATGGATTCATCTTTTTAAACCTTTCTATAACAAAAAAATATAAAATTTCAAATAGGTTTCTATATAAAGGGCGTCTAAAAAATTGCGTTGAAACTCGAACGGTCCAGAAGCTCCTATATATTTCAGTTTATTGATTGCAATATTTTTATGAAAAATCTGATATTGTAGTAATCATATGCTTTCCACAAAGGTATGTACCGAATGTTTCATAAAAATGACACAAGTGAACTTTGATTTTACTTATCTTTTCACTTTTTCAAATTTTTTTATAGAAATCTTTTCATGGAAAGTTATATAGTTACTAATCAAAGGATTTTTTTGAAAATCCATATACTGCATGTTCTACATAACTGACCCAAGTTAAAATTATCGGTCTAGAGGCTTCTGTATATTTCAGAAATTTATTGTGGCAATATTTTTATGAAAAATNTTGTAAGTCTCGTAATATGTCAGTGTTTCTTACGTACCAGGGCGCGTCGGTGGCCGTGCGGAGGGCTATGTTTTCCACAGCCTGTAATGACTTTAAGTGGCTTTTTGCCGCGTGACCCCACGCCGTGGAGGCGTAGGTTAGCTGCGGTTGAAGTACCACCTTGATAAGCGTTCGCTTATTCCTTAAACTGAGGGTGTTTCCACCTTTGATCCTTTACTACTTAACCGATCATCATGAAACTTTGTACACATATTCTTGGAAGTATTAGAAGTAACATAGGATACTTTTTATTGAAAAAAATATTTTTTATCACTCTGCGAGCGAAACCGCGGGTAAAGGCTAGTAAAAAGATAAAAAATCTGCACCAATTATCAGTTTAGAGATATCAGCAACGACAAATTGCCATGTAAAATAATGACGCAACCGAAGGTTTAATGTCATCGTCACTGTGCCGTACATAGCAATTGAGGTACCATTTGCCGCGGAAAGTTCATACGTCGATTTCGATGGCGACGATTTCACTAGCGCATGCGGATATACACAAAGATCGACACCCGTATCGACGAGAAACTGGACCTTGGAGTACGGCAAATAGCTCTCGGAGTAGTTGTTTCTCGCGGCACTGACGACTCAAACATTGTGTTACGCCCTCTGTGGGTGGCAGTCGTGCAGCAAAGTACCTGCAGTTAGCAGGTCGCTTCCTACTGTAGTCATTTGAATGGCACAGTTGGGAGTCTGCACGACAGATGGAGCCATTGGCTCCCGCGTACAATCAACTAACTGTTGCTCGATGCGGTTCAGCCTGTCGTCTTTTGAACTGGATCTGGCCACCTCTTAGAGCGCTGTGCCGGGCATTACTGTCTTCATAACTGCGTCGG